TCTGGCTGAAATCACATGATCGGTCCCTGTCCTATCCTGTCCTGTGTTGACATATACACAGGGCAGGATATGATGTCATTCTTCTCTGCCTGGACACATTCCATTCCAGACAGAGGAGAAGACACAGTAAAAGTGAGTACACAAGCACTAACACTACAGTTAGAACACACCTAGGACACATTTAACCCTCTGATCGCCCCCCCCCCCCCCAGTTAACACCTTCACTGCCCTGTCACCATTGTCACTGATCAATGAAGCGATTTTTACTGATCAGTGTCGCTGGCGACTTCCGATAGAGTTAGCGCCCCTCCCAGATAGCGCCAGTTTGCCCGCCAGTACACCAGTAATCCCGTTTAACCCCTTGATCGCCCCCCAGTTAACCCCTTCACTGCCCTGTCAACCAGTGTCACTGATCAGTGAACCAATTTTTACTGATCACTGTATCAGTGTCGCTGGCGACTTCCGATAGTGTTAGCAACCCTCCCAGATAGCGCCAGATTGCCTGCTAATACACCAATAATCCTGTCTAACCCACCAGAAATCCCATTTAACCCCTTGATCGCCGCCCCCCCCCCAGCTAACCCCTTCACTGCCCAGTCCCCCAGTGTCATTGATTACAGTGAACAGATTTTTACTGATCACTGTATTAGTGTCACTGGTGACTGGTGTTAGCGCCCCTCCTAGATAGCGCCAGTTTGTCCGCTAATGCACGGGATTTTTTTTTTTACCAAAAACATGTAGCAGAATACATTTTGGCTTAAATTTATGACTAACTTTGAGTTTACGATATATTTTTTATAGCTGAAAGTAGAAAATATTGTTTTTTTTCAACATTTTCGTGGTTTTTTTTTGTTTATAGTGCAAAAATAAAGCGCACAGGTGATAAAATACCACCAAAAGAAAGCTCTATTTGTGTGAAAAAAAGGACGTAAATTTCGTTTGGGTACAGCATTGCATGACCGCGCAATTATTTTAATTAGTGCAGCGCCAAACAGCAAAAAAAGGCCTGGTCATTAAGGGGGGTAAATCCTCTGGGGCTCAAGTGGTTAAACCATCACCCATGGAGATTTTTAAGTACCACAGTTTCATGCCATTCCACGAGCGTGCACAATTTTAAAGCGTGATATGTTGGGTGTTTACTCTCCGTAACATGCTCTTCCATATTTTACAACAAAATTGGGGTATATATTGTTTTTTTTTTTTTTAATCAAAGTGTATTTTTTTCCAAAAATTATATATTCATTTTTAAAAACTGCGCATTTCGGTTTTCGGCCAAGGGCATTTTGAATTTTAATTTTCGGCACCAGAATTTTCATTTCGATGCACCACTAGTTATAATCCTCCATTACTCTATCCAAAATGGAAAAAAAGGTTTTACCTATAGTTCTACTTTAATCATGCTACCTAGACTAATTTGATACAGGACTTCTTTAATAACCTTGCGCAAAAGACAGTGGTTGGCAGCAACCCCTAACAAGTAATTTTATAGCAGCTTTTACAGGTTCTATTTAATTACCGTGTTAACAGGTGGTATCTGACTGGTTGCTAATGGGTGCTGAACATCCCTGTTGATTGTTACATAAAGTCCATGGTGTTGCAAATATGTGAGAGATAAAGAAGACCAGGGATAGGAGAAATATGAGAAGGAGAAACGAGAGTGAAAGCAGATGGTTATAGGATTTAAAGGATTTAGATTTGTGCTGCGAGGTGGATGGTGGTGGCTTAAGGCCACGAATCACAGTTTGCAGTTCATAAGAGTAAGACAAGAACTGACAGGAAAGAGGATCTAAGGGGGAGAGAAAGCAGAGTGTACTTTGTAAAATAATTACGGGAATGGGATGGATGAACATTATACATCCAGATGTAAAAAGCCAGATAGTCATTTATCTATGAGACAAACAGTTGAGCAGATGGGCAAACAATGCTGATGTGTTTGTGTGGTACCCATATGTATACACCTAATTCACTGATAATTTAATATATGGAGCCCAATGTTCCTCCTGACCCTTACCTGCTTGGATAATGTTTGAGCAGCTCAAAAAATATAACAATTACCTCCTTGCATGAGATTATCAAACAAGTTCTCATTTGTCCACACATCCACATCCAGATTGTATAGAATTATACACTGTGGGGAACCAATCAGCTTCCAGGATTAAGCTTAAAATGTAAATTCACCTTTACAGAAAAACTGTAAGGTGACCTTACACTGGGCTCCCTCTCCTATTACAACACCTAACCTAAGGTACACTAAGGCTGGCCATACACTATACAATTTTCTGTCCAATTTCTGCTCAATTTCCTTTAGATTTACCTTCAACTATGTAGTGTAAGAGCCTGCCCAATTGGATACAATTGAAAGTGTTGTTTAGGTTTGACCTCATATTATATGCTTTTTTGGTAAATCTAAAGCAAAAATCCAAGGCTGGCCATACACTATACAATTTTCTGCCCAATTCCTTTAGATTTATCTTCAACTATGTAGCGCAAGAGCCTGCCTAATTGGATACAACTGAAAGTGTTAGCTTTGACCTCCTATTATATGGTTTTTGGTAAATCTAAAGTAAAAATCTCAACAAAAATTGTATAATGTATGGCCAGCCTTAATCTCAGACAGATCAATTATTTGAACACACAGGGGTAGATTTACTAAACCTGGAGCACTCAGAATCTGGTGCAGCTGACCATGGTAGCCAATCAGCTTCTAACTTCAGCTTGTTCATTTACCCTACTTTCACACCTAAGCGTTTTCTGCAGCATTTTGCAGAAACGCAATGCGGTACATTTAACATGATTTCCTATGGGACACGTTCACATCTCCGCGCTTTCACCCGGTGCACTTTTTGGAAAGGGTCAGGGACTTTTTTTAATGCAATAAGCTGCATTTTTGGTTCTATAGACTTCAATGGAAATACTGCAGAAAAGCATGTATTGCATTTTTGAAGTGTTTTTGCCATGTTTTTGATGCATTTTAAATCTGCCTTGCAACAAGAAATTTTTGTAAAAATAACCCCCCCCCCCCCCCAAAAAAAACACATCAAAAACCTGGGAAAAGCACAGGTGCAAAAATGCAAAACGCAATGCAGAAACGGCTCAAACGCAACCTGCATAGGAACCTAGCCTTACAGTGTACATTCACCTTTACAGAAAATCTTTAAGATGACCTTATACTGGACCCCAGGTCCCACTGTACTGGAGTCCTGCGATTTTCCGTTGTCAGACACTGGTATGATTGGCTACCACACACAGTTGTACCAGATTCTGAGTGCTCCAGTTTTAGTTAATCCACCCCGCGTGTTCAAATAATTAGCTATGGGGTGACCCTGCACCTTCAGATTTCTGCAGACAATGGAATCGACTTAAGTAATGGTTGCAGTACTAGATTCTTCATAGTTGCCCCTTTTTGAGAAAGAAGTACATGCAGGCTGGGGCTAAGGAAGAGGCAGAAAGGGCAACTGCCTTGAGTGCTTCGAGGGGAAAGGCAAAGGGGGCCCATACTAGGCGATAGGTATATCACTGTGCGGATCGCGGCGTCAGACCCCAGCCCTTCTCACCAAACTCGTAACCGAAGGACTAGCCAATCTAAAACCGCGCTGTCACATGCGTAACAATGCCATGCCCAGCTGCACCCTGCACACAGATTTTCCAGCTAATGGACCCCAACCTGTGTACCTACAGCCTGAGAGCGATTGTTACTGGGTCAGGTTAATTACGCAATTGACCCTTCACACTGCCACCACCTCCTTTTTGTACAGAGAAAAGAGGAAACTCGGCAATATCAGCAATAACACTATGATGTTTGAATAATCGTCGGTATACCACTGTCACCGCAGGCAGAGATATACCGAAGTTTAAAACACACAATAGCGCTCTTCAGAGGCAGGGGTGCTTAGTTTGCATTAAAGAGCTTTAGAAACAGTTCAACACTTTCAGAAAGTAAGATTTATTACTAAAAAAGTCAAAAGTGTGCAATAAAAATATTTACAGAAAAGATGTAGCCTATATATATATATATATATATATATATATATATATATATATATATATATATATATATATATTATATATATATATAAATATATAGAGAACAATAGCACAGCAAAGAGATAACAGAAAGAAGTTTAGAGGGATAAAGTACTTGCCGTCAGCCTTGGGTTAAGCAGATCAGGTTTCAGAGCCATAAGGGTCTTATCTCCCAAAGTTAGTTCCGATGTTAAAAGGGAGATTCTTCAACTTGAACCAGCTTAGCTTACCTTCAATCATCACAGCCTTTATCTAGGAACTCAGCAGGGTGTCTCCCTGAAGCAGAGAACCAATCGCCTCATTTGGGCGGGTGTGGCAGGCGGAGACCCAAGCTATGACCAAAAATCCCTCTTAGCTTATATTATGTTTAATAACTTACCCTGGATACATAGAACATTCTATCCACGAGTAGATTAATATGCAGAATCTTCTGCTGAACGTCTACATATGAAATACCTGCTGGGATGGTTAAGGAGATATTATTTTCTGCTCTCCTGTTGATCTCAGCTAGGGGATGTAATATACCAAACAATTTGTATTAAAGTGAGCCGTCCGAGTATATGCTCCATGTTTATGTAATTATGTCCTATTTGAAGATATAAAATTATATGGAAAAGTGAGTTTTTAAATGTACCGTATTTGCCGGCGTATAAGACGACTGGGCGTATAAGACGACCCCCCTACTTTTCCTGCTAAAATGTAGTGTTTGGGCTATACTCGCCGTATAAGACTACCCCTCTTCCAGTGCACACCAGTGGGAGGAATAGTGCCCCATCGTCGGTGTCAGTGGGGGGTGGAATAGTGCCCCATCGTCGGTGTCAGTGGGGGGTGGAATAGTGCCCCATCGTCGGTGTCAGTGGGGGGTGGAATAGTGCCCCATCGTCGGTGTCAGTGGGGGGTGGAATAGTGCCCCATCGTCGGTGTCAGTGGGGGGTGGAATAGTGCCCCATCGTCGGTGTCAGTGGGGGGTGGAATAGTGCCCCATCGTCGGGGGGTGTCCCCAGTCGGTGTCAGGGGGGGTGGAATAGTGCCCCATCGTCGGTGTCAGTGGGGGGTGGAATAGTGCCCCATCGTCGGTGTCAGTGGGGGGTGGAATAGTGCCCCATCGTCTGTGTCAGTGGGGGGTGGAATAGTGCCCCATCGTCGGTGTCAGTGGGGGGTGGAATAGTGCCCCATCGTCGGTGTCAGTGGGGGGTGGAATAGTGCCCCATCGTCGGTGTCAGTGGGGGGTGGAATAGTGCCCCATCGTCGGTGTCAGTGGGGGGTGGAATAGTGCCCCATCGTCGGTGTCAGTGGGGGGTGGAATAGTGCCCCATCGTCGGTGTCAGTGGGGGGTGGAATAGTGCCCCATCGTCGGTGTCAGTGGGGGGTGGAATAGTGCCCCATCGTCGGTGTCAGTGGGGGGTGGAATAGTGCCCCATCGTCGGTGTCAGTGGGGGGTGGAATAGTGCCCCATCGTCGGTGTCAGTGGGGGGTGGAATAGTGCCCCATCGTCGGTGTCAGTGGGGTCGGTGGAATAGTGCCCCATCGTCGGTGTCAGTGGGGGGGTGGAATAGTGCCCCATCGTCGGTGTCAGTGGGGGGGGGAATAGTGCCCCATCGTCGGTGTCAGTGGGGGGGGGGGAATAGTGCCCCATCGTTGGTGTCAGTGGGGGGGGGGAGGAATAGTGCCCCATCGTTGGTGTCAGTGGGGGTGGAATAGTGCCCCATCATTGGTGTCAGTGGGGGGGGGGGGGGAATAGTGCCCCATCGTTGGTGTCAGTGGGGGGGGGGGGGAGGAATAGTGCCCCATCGTTGGTGTCAGTGGGGGGGAGGAATAGTGCCCCATCATTGGTGTCAGTGGGGGGGGGGGGGGAATATAGTGCCCCATCGTTGGTGTCAGTGGGGGGGGGGGGGAATAATGCCCCATCGTTGGTGTCAGTGGGGGGGAGGAATAGTGCCCCATCGTTGGTGTCAGTGGGAGGAATAGTGCCCCATCATAGGTATCAGCGGGAGGAATAGTGCCCCATCATAGGTATCAGCGGGAGGAATAGTGCCCCATCATTGGTATCAGTGGGAGGAATAGTGCCCCATCATTGGTATCAGTGACACACCAATGATGGGGCACTATTCCTCCCACTGACACTTGCTGACTCTGTTCTCGTATGGTGCTGCTGCAGCCAGCATATGTGGTTGCAGCAGCACCTCTACACTGACCACTTACCTGCTGGTCCTGCACTCGATTTTCGCGCGGCTCCACCCTCTCGCCGGTGATTGGCCGCCTGTGTGCCTTTCCTGAGCTACAGTTCTGGCGGCCAATCGCTGGTGAGGAGGCGGAGCCGAGCAGCCGCGCGAACATCCAGTGGCCGAACTGAAGGCGCAGCCGCGCTTCCTGGACCGGATCGTCGTGGGACCGGAACCAGGTAAGAAATAGCCCCTGCCCACCCCTGTACTTAGTGTCCCTTCCGTTAGGGGAAGGGGGGGGGGGCGGCGGCACCGCGCCGCCCCCCTAAAAAGTGTCATGTCATGTTATACCGGCGTATAAGACGACCCCCGACTTTTGAGAAGATTTTTAAGGGGTAAAAAGTCGTCTTATACGCCGGCAAATACGGTAAGTCTGTTATTACGACTACCTGGAATAACTTTGAAGCTCTGTGAGGGCTGGTTTAAGGTTTTACGATCCCTTCTCCAGCAAGAGTCTCACAGACATGGGGGCACCAGCTAGTAAGGTTTATAGCCATGACGCCCTCCCAATGAGTTTGCTGCCTGTGATCTCTGTCATCATCCAGACCACGTCACTCAAAAGAGAGAGGGGGGATATCGGAGGAATCTGACATGGGAGAGAGAGATACAAAATGGAGGGGTTTGGAGCAAAATGGATGACCACGTCCATCTCTGTGTGCATGATTGCTACCATCACAGCTTATAGTCAGTAGCAATCTTCAGTACAAAATGAATGCCTACCCTGAGCTCTTACAGTACAGAAACCACTAATCACAATCAAAAATCACAGCTTATAGTCAATAGCAATCTCCGACTGAGCCCCCTTACAGTAGAGAATCATTTCCTATCCTGCCTTACAGTACAGAAGCCACTAATCACAAGAAATCAAAATCAGAAATATAGCTCTTGCTTTTGTGAGCTGTCTATGGCCAGCCTAAGTGCATTGAGCCTAGAAGCTTAGGCTTTTAAACAAATAGCTGCCAGTTGGGTTTGAAGACAACATAAAGGACACGCTTGCCTCCTTTATTTGCATGCTTGTCACAAACCAAGAGAAATGGCGTGAACCCTCAATATGACTGGATTCACCAAGAAGCGGAGTCTAGAGGGACAGGCAGTATTCACCAAGGACCCCAAATTTGCTCCCCCAGATATTAGCAAAATGTAGCAGGTTGCAATACGACCACCAGCAGAAACAGCCAGGTGACTAGGTGGCAGGGCAGCAAGCCTGTAGTGAAATATATGTGCTGGGAGCTGTAAGGTTTAGGGAGGGGACACACATTGAACATTTCCCTTTGAGTGGTCTTGGCACTGAACACATGCAGGCTTCAGAAGGACACTTTTAATTGAGATTTTCCTAATTTGTAGAAGTATTTGTAGTCCTTAAAGATTTGTTCTAATTTTCTAAACAAAAATTGGAACAGACATGCTCTGATGCTCATCCTTGCAAAGTAAATGGTTACAGCAGATCCAGCCAGCTTGGAAATGATGGGCTGATCTTTCATCTCTTATCATTACTGGCGAGAGATCTATGTAGAGCTATCCTTTAATAGAACAATAGTACAATTTACTAAAAGTAATTTACTGTTCTGCCTGCAAATTCATTATAGAAGCGAATACAGTCCCTGTCCACAACAGTGAACCATCTGCGGAGGACTACACTAAGTGGGAGCCTGCATACAGGAACATATTTGGGCCTTACAGGTTTTTGGACTGGGGCTAGAGTTCATCATGCTCTCTTATAAAAAAGACACTCTGCTAATGTTATTTCCACGGTTTCTGAAAACACCATCAGGAAGTCGATTGGATTGAAAAGCATTGTATGCTCTATTGTTATTTTGGGCTGCAAATCCTAGAAAAAGCCCCAAAGAGTGGCCGTGAACTGTGTGCAGGCCACCAATATCCTATATCATCCCCTTTGGTAGGCATAACAAGCACATGGATAGAAGGTAATAGCTCTTAGTTGTGATTATTAAAGCGGAACTACAATGCATATGAGCACCACAAAGCAAAGATGCCATTTAATTCATTTTTAATATTCAAAGCAAACTCATCCATCCATGTCTCTATGCTTTATTTTGCTGAGAAATTACTTTGAAAAAACACCCCGTAGCATTTTTGGCCGTGGTCATCTTGAGTAAGGGCAGATGAATCATGTAGCACATAAGTGCTGGAATCCATCGGCCCTTAGTTAAGGTATAGGAGCAGGAGGGCGTGGTTAGCTGAGAAAAAACCCCTCCTCCCCTTCAAAAGGCATAAGACAGTAGGACATTATTTGCCTAGCCAAGAAACTAAAAGTAACTGTTGAAACGTAAAAAAAAATTATTTAAAACAAGTATAACATATGATATAATTTCTTATCCATTTACTAATGCTAGCAGCAGCAGAACTAAAAAGTAGTCAATGTTGATTGAGAGAGTGAAGTTCTACTTTAAAGGGCCAGTTCACACCATAGAAACGCAGTCCGGATGCGTTTCTGTATGTGCATTTTTTAAGCATTTTGATGCATTCCAATTAATTCTCTCTCCTTTTCCTTCAACTTAAGACATGTGCATTCCGGAGTGTTTTACTGCGTCTGGTGCGTTTTACTTCAGTGCAGAAAAAAAATGCAGCATGTTGTACTTTTTTTCTGGAACGCACTGGAACTGACCGCACTGGTGTGACTATGCCATTGGAAACCATGTAACCTATCAATGCATTTTTGATGCAGAAAAAAAAAAAACAACACACTGGAGTACATGTGTTGTGAACTGGTCCTAAATCAGAACTTTCCGCTCTCAATCCACATTGATTATTTTTAATCCTTATGCTTCTAGCATTAGTATAGATAGGAAGGTATGTTATATTCACTCTTTTTACATTTCTTCACTTATTTCCTACTTTCCATGCCTAGCCAAATGATGCCAAATCCCAGGAGTCTTCAGGAGTGGAGGAGGGGTTTCCTCAGCTAAGCACACCCTCCTAAATGCATTCCTGAAATAAGAGCAGATGGATACCAAGAAGCAAATGCTACATGAATCATCTGCCCTTACTTAAGATGGCCATGGCCAAAAATGCTAGAGGTGTTTTTCAAAGTGATTTCTCAGCAAAATAAAGCATGGAGACATGAACGGATGGGTAAATTTGCTCTGAATATTTAAATGATTAAATAACACTTTTGGTTTGTGGTGTTCAGATGCAGTGTAGTATATAAGAGGTACACTAGCCATGATGTGCCCTCAAAAGCACAATTTATTTTACATTCCTGGTCACTTTAATGTGTTAAAAACATAATGAGGTTCTGGAAGCAGTTTGCGCTCTGTTGATATGAATATCAATCACCAGACAGTCAAATCATTAAAGCTGTAGTAAACTTGCCCTACAAAAAAAAAAAAAAAAAAATGCTCCCTGCAAGGCAATGTCATAGTGTGCTAGTATGCATTGGATACTAGAACATTTTGAAAGACTTCCCTTTAGAACGAAGCCTTCCAGCGGCTTTTTTCCAGGTTCGCTGGCTCTGGTCACTTGATTGGCCGAGCCACAATGATGTCACTCCTTTGCGAACGCACAGCAGCCTTGGCCTCGGCACAGAGCTCTGAAGAAATTGCACAGGTATGCCATTTCTTACGCTACGTCACTGGATGCAGGGACACTGAATATCTCCTAAACTGGGCATGTTTAGGAGATTTTCCTTGTACCTACAGGCAGACTTTATTATAAGCTTACCTGTAGGTCCAAGTGTCCAATGAGAGTTTACTCCCACCTTAAAGAGAGAACAAATGTAACTTGTGAAAGGTATGAATGGATTAAAAAGGGACTGGTTTTACATTTTCCACTTTTTTCCATCAGTTTCCACTGGAATACAGTATACATATGCACTTGTCAAGGTTATTCAAAGCTGAACCTCAGGCAAAAAACTAAATACACAGATAAAATATATCTCGGAGCTCTTTTACCTGCCATAAGATTTGTGTATCAGTCACAGATACTTACCCTTACACAGTCACATGACTGCTTCCATTTAAACTGCTGTACCCATGCCGAAGACTCCACAGCACCCCAGCCTATTATCCGCTGTAACTGCAGCCCAGCCACTGCTGCACCTATGCTGAATTCTTCACTGCATCCCTGACTGGTTCTCTGCTGCACTTGTAGCCTTGGTCTCTGTTTCACCCCAGTCCCAGGTTCCATTGCACCCACAGACAAAGTCTGCACTGTTCCTTAGCTTCATCCACAGTCTTCACTGTACCTCCACTGCATCTGCAGCCTCTGTTGCTTTTCAGCTGTCCTATAGCACCCACAGCTTCCATTGCCCCTCAGCTGCATCCACAACTTCACAGCACCCACAGTCTCAGCTGCACCATCTCTGCACTCACCGTCTGAGTCTCCATCTCTGCACTTGCAGCCTCCAGCTGCCTCTCTCATACTCTAGTTCCCCAATACACAGTAGCAACCCTGCCCAGCATTTGCAAATATCTGTTGAGTGACCTGAGGGTAACCAGTAGTGAAGCTCAAACTCTAATGAGAGGGTCACTGGCAGGACAACAGATACCCCTTAGACTCC